AAAAAAAAAAAAATTTGGCTGAGCATGGTGGTGTGCACGTGTAGCTCTAGTTACTATGGAGGCAGAGGCAGGAGGATTACTTGAGTCATGAGCCACTGCACTGCAGCCCGGGGCAATAGAGGAACACCCTCAAAAAAAGAAAAATAAAGAAAAAAGGAAAACAAAATAAAATGTAAGTCTAGATCACAGTCACTAGAAGGTAAGTTCCATAATGGGGAGGTTTTTGGGTCAGATTTGTTCACTGTATCCCCAGAACCTAGCACATAGTGGGTGTTCAGTATTATTTGCTCAATAAAGAACACTAAGTTTAGTGAGAGCTCAGGCTGGGAGACTGAATACACTTTCATAGTTATGGTTAGAGGAAGTGATGAAGGTGACTAGTGAAAGAAGCCAAAGAAAGGATAAGAAAAATCACAAAAGGCTGGGAAAGAGAGGGTTTTAAGAAAATGGAAGAGGCCAAAAGTGTCAAAGGCCACAACGTAATAAAGAAAGGGACTGAGAAGAGTCTCTGGATTTCCACTGAAGACTAATCAGGATCCTAAGATTAATTAGGGAGGATCCTAAGGGTAGTTTCACAGAGTGGTAAAGAATGCATTTTTCAAGAGTCTGGTCTCTTAATTAGTAAGAGGTCCATGTAATTATTCAACAACAATGAAGAAAGCTAATTTCCCTCCAAGCTTTCATGCTCTTCCTTTTTTTTTTTTTGAGACAGAGTCTCAAGCTATCACCTTGGGTAGAGTGCCATAGCATCACAGCTCACAGCAACCTCAAACTCTTGGGCTTAAGGGATTCTCTTGCCTCAGCCTCCCAAGTAGCTGGGACTACAGGTGCCCACCACAATGCCCAGCTATTTTTTGCTTGTCATTGTTGCTTAGTAGATCCGGGCCAGGTTCAAACCCGCCATCCTCAGCATACGTGGCCAGTGCCCTTGCTGACTGAGCTACGACTACCACCTTTTCACTCTCTACTATTGAGAGAAGGCAAACATTATTATTCATATTAAAACTAAATAAAGGCTTGGCGCCTATAGCTCAACCGGCTAAGGCGCCAGCCA